GAAAATGCATGCCAAGGCTTAAAGTAGCAACAACGCTACACATAGAAACTGATGATGGTGGAAAACACCGAAACGTATTTTAATTGATAAATAGATAGAGATTTGATAAATAGATTAAATTGATAAATAAAATTGGCCTCCGCCGATGTTGCCAGACGTGTAACACGATCTTTTGAAAAGCGGAAATGTCATGCAAAAAATGCAACTTTTGCAAATGCCATAGAGGGCAACCGGCTGTTGCCAGGTTGTAAGTTCAAGCCAAAATTTGCGGAGTTTCTGCACTCACATGTAAATGCTTTTTCATCAAACCTGCCGGATTGACACTCGAGACGATGCCGAAAGTGTCAAACGCCGTCCCCGCTCGAAAATATGCTGAAATTAAATAGAACACTATTAGTTAGATGCGGGCCAGATAATTGAAAATATTAAGTGGCATCAGTGAAAAATGAAGAACGTCAAACAAGGCGAATCAATTTGAATAATGAACAGACAAGGTGAATTGGCCTCGCTCTCGCTCTTTCGCGCATAATTTACCAATTTCTTCGTTGAATTTTTCTTCCGCGATAAGTATGCTTAATATGCTCGGAAGATATTAATGGCCGGCCATTCTTTAAATATGGATGATATAGCCGTCTCTTTTTTCTCACCGGATTTTTCCAGAACCAGATGGCGTGGCGTGGCTAATTTGTATTAATTTAGCAGTTTTGTTTTCGCTTCCTATGCCCTATTAATATTAATAAACCCAGGCCACCCTCCTTTCGTTGCCGACTCGCACCTAAAATGGCGTTGGCCGACATTCACGCAGATGTTACTCTATCAACTCCACTGTTTCACCCCATCATTTATAAAATAAAGCGATTAGTTAGGTACATCGAAAGTTTAATCCGCCATTATATATCCAGAGCGTCACAAAAGAATCAGAGTCTAATCTCCAAAAAGAGTGGGCTGGTAGACAATAAACAGTCGACAACAATCATGGACTCCGGTGACAGTTGACGATCCAAAACCCGTAAAAGATATCTGTATTTAGTGGATGGAGGCAAAAAAGCGGATATGCGAACATGTTTGTAGGGTAACGGAGGCCTTTTGTTCGGGCCTGAATGAAAATAGACGGAGGGAGGAATGTTTGACCGCATTTTCTCAATGTATCCGGTTACTTTCTAATACTTGATTTTTGGTTAGGTATTGCTTTGTTCCCAGCCAGCCAGGAACAGGATGATTTGTTTCAAGTAATAACAAAAATAAATATCGTCTAGTGCAGTTACTACTAAG